AGGGCACGAACCCATGTCCCCTGCATCGGCAGGCGGACTCTCAACCACTGCACCACCAGGGAAGCCCTTTTTTTTTTTTTTTTAATACGGTTTTAATTATGTATTGAAGAGCTACAAAACACTATTTGTAACATATGTTTAAGATTTAAGGAATAAAAATCATACATACCTGACTTTTTACAGCTGTGTGCCCACCATCAGCTGAAGAAATGGAGAAGTGCCACTGCCCCAGGGGGCATAGGAGGCCGCCCCTCCCAACCTCAGCCCCCTCCCTCCCTCCTCTACATTTGGTCAAGGCTTCCTCAGCCCCAGTGGCAGCTCCTCTGCCCAGTCTGGCTCCAGTCCTCTTCCCTTCACAGGGAAGTGTGTACCCCAAACTCCATCTCAGTATCTGCCTCAGGGGAGCCCCGTCTACTGTCTGACATTAACTTAGTGATGCCTGCTTTCTTTAGATTAGTATTTATTTGAATCGTATGTCTTTTTAAATCCTTTCACTTTTAACCTTTCTATAAAACTATGTTTCGGTTTTTCTCTTAGTGGATTTTACTATCTGTTATCTTTTGTCTTTCAAGTGGTATATTTATTATAATTACTGATATATTCAGGATTTCTATTTTTCCTGCCTATTCTGCTGCTTCTTGCCTTCTTTTGGGTCGATACCATTTTTATCATTCCATTTCTGTGCCTCTATAAGTTTGGGAATTATACACTCCACTTTTAGACTTGTAGTAATTGCTCTGGAAATTACAACCAGCATAATTTTCAAAGACTCAAGTTAGTCAGAACTTTCACCTTCCAACTGGACAATGTACCAACTCCAGAACATGTAACTCCAGTCCCTCCTCTCAATTTATATATTACTCCTATCATGTGTTCTAATTCTAGCCTATTTTTAAATTCCAGAAGCCACCAGTATTCCCTACAGTCATGAGTGTGTCCTGTACTTGCCAGGTGTTCAGCCATCTTCCCTCAGCATCCCTTCTTGCATCATCTCAAACCTTCCACCTGGGATCACTTTCCTTCTACCTAAGGTATACCCTTAGAGTTTCTTCTTCTGGGCCTGTTGGGGGCCAAATCCATTTTTGTTTGAGAATGTCTTTACTTCAATATTTAAAATAGTGAAAGATATTTTCTTTAGATACACAGTTCTAGGATGGCAGTGATTTTCTTCCAACACATCGCAGTTTTTAATCCACTCTTCACCTAGCTCCCATTGTTACAACTCAGAAGTCACTTTTGTGTACATGTTGCCCTTTGGCTGCCTTTAAGATCTCTTGGTCTTTGGGGTTCTGCCCCCACCCGTTTTAAATCCTTTTTGAGATTTGCCTTCTTGAATCTGCAGGATAGCACTTTTCATCAGTTCTGGAAAATCCTCAGCCATTGTTTCTTTGGCTATTACCTGTCCCATCTCTCATTGCTCTCTTTACAGGGCTCCAATTACATCGTTTATGTCTCTGCTACATTCTGGCTAATGTTTTCTGACCGATCTTCCAGGTCACTTATTTCTTTAGCTGTGTCTAATACGTTTATTAAATTCATTGAGTTTTAAATTGCTATTGTGAGATATAACCTTTACGCAGAAAAGTCCATACAGTACATATGCACAGTTTACTTACAATTAAGGCAAACACCTGTTTAACAATGACTCAAATCAAGAATTAAAGCCAAACAAAAGAGGCTCCCACTTGCCCTTCTCCAATCATAATATTTCCTCTCCTCCTAGCACTTAAGATATCATTTACTTTTATTTTGTTATAATTTTACCACCTAGGTATGTATCCCTAAACAATACAGTTCAGTTCGTCGGGTTTTGAACTTCACATATGAACAGAAGCATTCGTATGTTTCTTCCTCCTTCACTAGATATTATGTCTGCGAGAGTCATTCAGGTTGCTGACTATACGTGTGGTTTGTTGGCTGTCATTGCTGTTTTTCCATCCACTTATTCAACAAATATATATTAAGCACCCACTATGTGCCAAACATGGTCCTAGGGGCTTGGGATACATCCATAAATAAAACTGATAAAGCTGCCTGCCCTTGTGGGGCTCACGTTCTAGAATGAGAAAATCACATTTGTGTGTTAACCTCATGGGTGTGAGCCGAGTGACCTACAGCTTTATTTGGGGGAGAAGCGCTGCGGACACTGGGGAACCACCAGTCAAAAGCCCTAAGACGGGAGCAACAAGAAAAGGACACAGCGAAGAAAGAGGAGAGCAGAGAGCGCCTGTCAGGGAGGCCAGCCAGGGCACAGAGGGCCTTGTGGGTACCGGCTACCGTAGGGTCACTTGCCTTCTGCCGTTTAGCATACCTTTTATGATTTCCTTTAGTCAAGATCTGTAGGAGGTAAACTGTCTCAGTTTTTGTCTGAAATGTCTCTATTTCACCCTCCGTCTTTATTTTTTTAAATGTTCCTCAGTGACTTCTATCATGTCTTTAATCTTCAGAAATTCAAAGACGCCGTCCACACTGAAATGACCTTCGGAGGCACAGAAAATCAAGATGTGATGCAGAAGGCTTCTTTTCTTTTGTTTGAATTGGTTCCTTTACTGGAGTTCCTTTAGCTGCTTGTTTCTTTGTAGCAAACAATTTTCTCCCTCCAAATCCTGCTTCTCTTGGCCAAAAGCCTTCTTTCCTCCTTTTTTCTCAACCTACCCAGGCTACCTGCCTAGAGTCAACTTCACATCTGCTCTGCTGACGGACGTTCTACCGCTGTTGTTTGCTTTATCCACTTGAATTTGTGGTACCTGGCCTGGCCAAGGAATGTTGCAATACATGGTCTTGTGAATGAATGGTTTTTTCAGCATTGTCAGAGCGATAATAGATCTACTTAGAAACTTTGTGGGAGGAGGGAGGGAGGATTCTGAAGCCCCAGAAACTTGGACAAATAAAGCTGGTTACGGTCATCAGGTAACCAAAGGAAGATTTTAGAATAGAAAAAGAGAGCAAAAACTCAGTTATCAGATTTGAGACTTGAGGGCAAAGTACATGGTCACAAAATGGCTAATAAGGGAGAGGAGGGAAATAGGGCATCAGTCTGTATCTGACACAGTCCACAGTCTCCTTTTTATGTGTATTGTTTTTTTAACTTCTTAGAATCAGATCCATGCAGTTTCTTTCTTCTTTTACACACTCTTCCATAGTTCAGTTGGCCCTACATGTTGATGTCTGAAATGTGACATTACACAGGAAGGTCAGTTGTGTTCTACCTCACATCTAAGCCATAGTGAACGATAAGTTTTCACAGGTGACAGCTAGTTGTAATATATGCCACATATGGCTAAAGGTTGATATTTGAATGAAGGAAATATTGATGCTGAATTAAAGAAACTGGATGTAAGTACAGGGAAAACTTCTTTGATTCTTGTTGCTTTGCCTTATACACAATGCACTGACACCCTGCACATATGTGTGAATGAATTTTGTTTCAACGTAATTCTCAGGCTCCTCAGTAAGTTCTTCAGAACTCTGTCGTGAATCTTTCTGGATGGTGCTCAGAAAGCTTTCAAAAACTTCTGCTAAGATCTGTTTCGATTGCTTTGTACGTGCAAGGCTGTAGTTATTCTTCAGGGAAGTAGCATTGCGCTGAGTGCCACATGGATTATCGAAGTGGGAAACACTTTTGGTCCATAAGCAGAAATGTTCGACATGTCCATCAGAAGCAAATCTCAAAGGTTCAATTTACTCATTTTAAATAGAATAATTCATTGGATGTTTCTGAAGGGTTATTGACGATACTACCATTATCATAGATGATGTGAGGTCATCCATGGCAGATGCAAGAGCAGTTCCACATTTTGTCCTTACCAGCTCTCGTACACTCAGAGGCACAGACTCCTTGATATCATTCCAGGTCCTAAATGTCTTCTGATGCAAAATATCCTCTTTAATCTTCATGTTGCTCCCAACTTAATCAACCACTGTAGCACATTCAGTAACCTCCTCCTATTAGACAGTTCTGGTGAGGCTGAGATGGCCAGGACAGAACAGACGGCATACCTCTCCTGTGTTGTGTTCGCTCTATGTTGTCAAGGGCACCAAGCTTTGGCTGATACAAAATATGACCTCTTGAGCCAAGGGAAATGCTCTGACCACAATAAGAAGTCCCCCCACCACCAATTCAGGGAATTTGAGCTGCAAATCTGTCCATGTCCTAAGATTTAGCCCAAGTCTAATGACCGGATAATTCAATGCACAGGCTGCCTCATTTTCATACAAGTCAGTGTGAAGAGAGTATACAAGATCTAGGTGAAAAGTAACCTTGAACACCATAGGCAAAGGTGCCAGATGTGTCTTCCTTTTCCAAACACTCTGACACCAGGGGATGAGCAGATACCATGGCAAGAAGAGGAGAGGCTCTCAGGGGTTCCCACAGAAAAAGTTCTCATCCTTATTCTTACAAACATAGTGTAAAATTCTACGATGGCAAATATTTTTAGCTTCAGTGCATTGAAGACATTTTCCCACAATCTCATACCTTTCATTTTCACTGTTGAGACATCAGCGTCAGTCTAACTGTCACTCCTGTGAAGTCAATTCCCTTTTTCTTCTCACTGCCTTTAATATTTTCTCTTTGATGCTGATGTTCTGCGGTTTTACCATGATATGTCTAGACAGGCATTCCTTTTTATTTATCTGGCTTGAGATTCTAACCCATTACCTTTTCAAATATAATCTCTGTCCTACTCTTTCTCTTACATATCTGGAAATCCAGTAAGAAGTATTGTTGGGCCTTCTCTTCCCTCCTCCCATGTCTCTTATACCTGTTCTCCAAGCTTGATATCTCTCTGTCTTTCTGTGCTGCATTCTGGATAATATCTTCAGATCTATTTTCCACTCCACTAATGCCCTTTTCAGCTGTGTTGAAGCCACTGTTTTCACCCATCTGCTGAATTTTATTCTATAATGATTGTACCTTTCAATACCAAGAGTTCCATTTTGTACTTCTTCAATTGCCTCTTGTTTTGCACTCATATATTGAATCCATTCTTTCATTTCTTTAAAGATATTAAAACACTACTTTTAGGTTCTGTATCTGATAGTTCCAATATCCCAAGTGTTTGGAGATCTGATTCCACTGGATATGATTTCCATTTGTTTGCGGTCCTCATTCTTTGTCTCTTCATATGTTTTCAAGGTTTTTTTTGTGTGACACTTTATCTGTGGTTTTTTTTAAGGGCTGTGTTGTAGATGTATTCCTCCACAGAAGGGCACACCCAGTCCAGGACCAGTAAATTTTAAGTAAATTCCCAGCCTGAGACTTTTCAGACCACACAGGTAGCATTATTTTAGACACAGATTTTCATGAATTGACTTGTGATTACAATTTTTCCCCTATTCACCCAATGCCAGTGTTGAAACTGGTAGGTTTCCTTGTGCCCTTCTGCCATGCAGGTTTTTATTTTGTAGATTATCCTTACAAGAGGGTATAGGGTCTTCCCCTAGGTTTCTCCACCTTGGGCAGACCCTGCAGGTTTTGACTCTTGTCCCCTTCACTCCAAATAGCCAACAAAACTGAAACACAAATTCACCAAGATTTGGCCAATACCTTCAGGGTAAAAACTGGCTTTATTAGAAAGCTTCCTTCTCTGGATTCCAATTTTTACTGCATGCTTAGCCTCTGAGAATTACCTTCTTGCCAGCTCAGTAATGTATTAAAATATTTTACCTTTTATCCATCATTTTAGTAGTTTTCAGTGGCAGTGTTTTTCATGGAGGTAGCCTACCATAGTACTAGAAAGAGAAGTTTCTATTCACTGTAATTCGTGATCTTCAACAATAAAGAGAATTTAGCTACATGTGTAAGTCAGAAATCTTCCAAATTTAGTTTAAATATTTAGTCTTTTATGTTTAAGTAACTTATGATACTTTTCATCTCAAATTATTAGCTTTTCCAACTGTTGAGTTGTAGTATTTCCAACTGTTGAGTTTTTCAGCAAAGAATATTCAAACTAGATTACTTATTCCACAAATGCGGATGGTTTTAAGTCAAGAGCATGAATATAGAGCCTATAAAATGACCAGTGGTCCTTCTGAATGAGCCTGGAAGTTATCCTAGTTCACCACTTATGGAAGATCAACTGATCAGAGCACAAAGAAGTCCCACATCGTGGAGCAGATAATACCTTGTCATTCTTGTTGGAGCTGCTACACTAATTCTTTTATTTTTTTAATTGTGGTAACAAAAAACCCACATAAGTTACCATCTTAACCATTTTTAACATACAGCTCAGTAATGTTAATATATTCACACGGTTGTGCAACAGATCTCTGGGACTTGCTCACCTTACAAAACTGAAACTCTACACCCAGTGAACATCAACTCCCCCTCCCCGCTCCACACTGCTGCACTAAGTCTTACATGTCAGCTGCATCCAGGATGGATGCAATCACGAAAGCTGTAATACCAAAATCTGCTAATATTTCAGAACCAAATTTAATTGTTTACACAATTCCTGAGAAAATGAAGCTTACCCATTTAGAGTCAGATAATCTGAGTAAATAATTTTTTTTACTAAAACAATATTTCCTACATCAGACACTAGAATCAAAGACCTTTACAGCTGATAGAGACATTAAAGTTCAGACTTTAACTCTCTCGTTTTGCACATAAAGCAAATGAGCTTCATGCTCATGCTACAATTATGAAATACAGAGGAGCTCATACAAAGATCTTTTCAAAAATACTTCATTTCTAGCTACCAAAATATGATCACTATCCAGTGAAAGACATTAAAAATGTATAAAAACAAACAAATTTAAAATTTGGCATCTTAATACTTCTACTTCAAAGTTTAAATTCCTTATTTCCAGGGAATTCCCTGGCGGTCCAGTGGTTAGGACTCAGCGCTTTCACTGCCGGGGCCTGGGTTCAATCCCTGGTCAGGGTACTAAGATCCCGCAAGCCACATGGCACAGCCAAAAAAAAAAAAAAAAATTAAATTCCTTATTTCCAAATCTGAAATGCATTGCATATGAAATATGTTAGTCTGGTTTTAATTTGCCATGTTTCCATTTTTAATACAATATTATTTCTCTTATTCTGAAATATATCTCATTTAGACGTTAGAATCTTCTCTGAATAAAATTTTTGACTGAGGATTGTATCTGTTGACATGATTTATCTCTAATGACCTTGTGTCCTATTTCTTATCATTTCAAGTTTCACATTTGCATATGAGGAAAAAAAACTTACCTCTGTATAACATTTATATTCAGGTCAATTCCACCAAATCTGGACAGGAATACAAGGTACGGAAGGGCACCAGAGCTGCTGAGGGGGATCTACGCCCAAACAAGAAGAATTAACAGCCCGTTAGAGAATTCAGATCCAAGCAGTGGACAGCACGGCAGGTTTCATGATGTAAGGCAGGACATTCTTAGCGGGATGGGCATTCCAGTAACAGTCACAGCTATTCAATCCAGGTGTCTGAGTGGACACGCACCCTCAGCAAAGTAAGCAGAAGCAGCATGAATGCCAGAATGCCAGTCTGTGCTCAGTTAAAAGCCCACAAGTTGTCTACAAAATTATCTAGAATCTAGGTCTATCTAAAAGGTAAGTACAATTAATAGAAATATATTCTAATATATATGTTATATATGTATTTTTATATATGTGTATATGTATAAATATATATATATATTTCCCAAAAGTCTGAGGCCACAGCATAATTAACCCTCTGAGTGTCATGTGTACTTACTGTACATTCATATAATTTCAAGGTAGAAAAAAATCATTTTCAAATCTAAAATTCTGTAAAGGACATCATTGGGTCAAGTGGGTTAATATGGACTATAGGTTCAATTAAAGTATTATTATCTCAACGTTTAGTTTACTGAAGTTGTTAGCTGTACCGTGATTATGTAAGAGAATAGTTCTTATTCTTAAGGAAATACACACTGAAGTATTTAGAATTAAAGAACCATTAACATAAGCAACATCCTCTTGAACGGTTCAGAAAAAAATTATGTACACATTGTGTATTTCGTATATATTATTTGCATATATGTATGAATGAAAGATCACGGGAGAAGCAAACGAGGTTAAATGTTCACAACTGTCAAATCCGGGTAAAGGGTATATGGCTACTGTTTGGACCACTCTTATCCTTACAAATTTTCTGGAGGTTTGAAATTACTTTTAAATAAAATGTCAAATTTTTTTAAAAGTGAAAATAATTATTTCCCCCCCAAAAAGCATTATGAAATTAAAATTAAAATAAATATATAATCAATATAAATATATTTTATTAAGCTTCATGCAAATACACAAAGTACAATTTCCCATACAGCTGAATGGCTCCTAAGCCTATACGACCAAATCTGATATTTACTTAACCCTTAACATTCCAGCCTCAAAGCCTAGCACGGTTATCTCAGTCTTCCCCAAAGGACAAATTTCTCCTTGCTACTAAAAACATGTATAACTAGGAAATGGGCCCAGAGGGAGACTGGCTCACAGGGCAGGCCTTTGCGAAGCCTTTTCCTGGAAAGGACACCCAGGACTTGGATTTCTGATGGGGCATTTTTTAGTAGATATAATTTGGGTAGATGCTTCAAAGGTTCCCTAGTTTTACAGAAGAAGGTCAAGAACAGATTAAACGTGCAGTTTCCCAGACTGGATGCCCTCCTGGTCTTGGTAGTGATAAGAGTTAACATGGAAAGGAAGAAACTTACATCTGGAGAGCTCATACTTTATAAATGGGTACAGGCACTGCTCTTGGTTTTGACTCATTTAGCCCCAAACTACCTTCTGAGGAGGCTGAAATTTTCCACATTTCACAGAGCAGAGGTGTGACCTCCCTGCATGGCACTGCCATTAAGTCATTTAGTCACAGAAATCTGTGACTCCAGAGCCCAAGTTCATCTCACTACACTAACCACCCTGCCTTAAAATCCATCAATCTATTGAAGCTGGGACTTCCCTGGTAGCACAGTGGTTAACAATCCACCTGTCAATGCAGGAGACACAGGTTCGATCCCTGGTCCAGGAAGATCCCACATGCCGTGGAGCAACTAAGCCTGTGCACCACAACTACTGAGCCTGCACTCTAGAGCCTGCGAGCCACAAGTACTGAGCCCGCATGCTGCAACTACTGAAGCCCATGCATCTAGAGCCCGTGCTCCGCAACAAGAGAAGCCATCGCAATGAGAAGCCCGCACACCGCAATGAAAAGTAGCCCCCGCTCGCCACAACTAGAGAAAGCCTGCGTGCAGCAACTAAGACCCAACGCAGCCAAAAATAAATAATAAATAAATAAAATTTTTTAAAAATGTATTGAAGCTTTTGTCACATTTCATATTGCTACTTATGGTCTAATGCAAATTCTAATGTGGCAGATACACATTTGCAATGACTGGTCTACAAAACTAAGCGCTTAGACAACCCAAATCACCTCTCCAGTATTAGCTATTCTGGCAAAAATGTTGGAGAATCAAAACCGTCCATTGATGAATCACTGAAAGCAATTCTTAGACTGGGGCTGGGGGAGTGTAGTTTGTAAATCCACATCCAGTATGCTGATAAGTACCTTCAAAGACTTCTCTTTCCCCATCCCAGCACAACCACCAGGACCAGAACGGAACTTAGTTTTCCTTCTCTGGAATCTATTTACCAATTCAACTTCTTTTAAAATGTTTATATTAATATTCAGACACTGAAGCCACATTTTTATTATTGCATGTTTTAAATATTTTTAACATCTTTATTGGAGTATAATTGCTTTACAATGGCGTGTTAGTTTCTGCTTTATAACAAAGTGAAGCAGTTATACATATACATATGTTCCCATATCTCTTCCCTCTTGCGTCTCCCTCCCTCCCACCCTCCCTATCCC